AAATTATTTTTGCAATAAGATAAAAGTAACTTAAAAATCCCATGCTAAGAAAGATGACAGTGTTACAATACAATTTTTAAAAAGTTTCGATTAAAAAAGTTCTCCATGGAGAAACATGCACTTATAGGTTATAAAAATAAAGACAGAAGAAGAGATGAGAATAAGTTTTGCCTAAGTTTTAGCTATGAACTGAGTGGGAAATAGGACCTAATTTTCCTCTATGAATAGGGAAAATGCAAGTCAATTTTCAGAGGAAATTCAATAGAAGAGATATAGTGATCTGAAAAGGGATACATTTTTTGAGATGAAATTACACCAAATGTATTCTTTGGCCACTATTTGTGGCTGAGACTATGAACAACTAAGAATAATTAGCTGGACTGAAAAATGCCTGTGATTTCAATCTGCTAGGATGAACCCCTGTTTCTTTCTTAATATCTGTGATCCCTTCCTACTGTTCTTTTCTGGAAATCTTCCTCATTCACTTATTTAAACATCATTAAATCTCACTGTTCCTTGCATTGTTACATTCAGATCATCTTCTTCCAAATGGACACCTACTTAATAGCATATATGACTGTCTGGGTCACAGGAAAAGGGAAAAATAATGAACAAACACAGGTATCAGAGAGAAAAAGCCAGACACAGTTTGACCTCTCTGTGTGGGCGAGCAAATACTCAGGCTTGTCATTCTGTAATAGGATTCCATTAGTTCTCCAGACCAGTGACTAAGTGGTTAAAAGGAAAACTATATCAACCGCTTGGCTCTGATTGGTCCCTAGAAACTTCCTGTAGAAAAGAATTAGAGCAAATACGTTGAAAGGAGGGTCTAGATTCTGTGTCTACAAGAAACACAGGGGGAAAAAATAAGACGAGGTCTGACCTTGTGGCTGATACGCAGGTTAAACTGTACAACTGTGTCTGGCTCCCCGTTAAGAGGTTACACCAGGAGTCTAAGCAGAAGAAGGAGAACCAGCAGGGATGAAAAACCGTGAAGGCAAAAGCAGCCTCATTGGAAAGAACAGTTTAAAATCTTGAGTCTGAAAATCACTTGCGTCCTGAAAATACCAAGCTCGGTGGCAATAAAATCATCACGTACAGATTAGTTACCAAAAAATGAGACTCACTGTCAGTTAACCATTCAGCTTTCAATGTGTCCTGTGTGCTCCAGCCTATCAAAATATCTCTTTACAGTTCATTCGTGGCTCAGTTCATTTCTTTGAAATTTTACGTACAATTCTAAAAAGTTATTGTTCTATAACTGTTTGCATTTTAAATAGTATTTGTTATGTAGAGAAGTTATAGAACCATCTTAAAGGAAAACATGGTTAGGATACTTACTAGAAACAAAATGACACACAGACATTTTCAATATATTAAAAAAACCTCTTGTTCCATGACTTCTGTGAGGTTTACAGATGAACAGAACTCCTCGTTTTGTGGACCTTATCTTTTCAGTTTGCTTAAAATTCTTGATTGCCTAAAATCCAGTTTATTTAGATGCAATGGTTTTTTTTGTTTGTTTGTTTTTCTTCTAGACCCTGTAGTATATGTAGCTGGTTGATCTTTAGCTTGTATCAGAACAAAAGAAACAAGAGCAAGTAGTATTTTATGAAACTTTAAGCTTCTAGGTGGTTCTGCATTAAAGAAATTAAACATTTAAACAACGGCAAGACGAAATCCTATAAGATCAAGTCATTATTACTGCCTTAGCTCTCTCTGCTTATTCAATGAACCTCACTAGGCAAAATTATGATGCTGATATTTCCTGATCTGCTCAGAACGTCTCTGGCTCACAGCATTGTCCTGGTGACCCGTTTGGCTAGTGTTCCTTTTCACTTTCAAAAGCGACCTGGTTTGGATGATAAATTCGATGGAAGTGTCCAAGGTTTTCTATGAGTCCACAGGATAAGTTAGGTTGTGTTGTCAACATCTAGCACTGGTGCAAACCTCAACCTCAAACATTTTCTTTGCTTCCAAAAGGATGTTTGAGAATAAAGCTTTTGCTGTACAGACACCTATGATTAGAGAGACAGGACTATTTGCAAGATAAGAGGAAGTTAAGAGAACATTTCACTAAATATGTTTAGAATATGGTCGACCTTAGAAGATTACTCATATTTTAAGAGCCTCTTTCCAGAAAAGTGGAAATCATAGTAGTTTTAGGTGAAATTTGTTTTTTGAAACATTCACTCTTTGGATGTCTTACATTCCAGAACTTTGTCTAACTCCATTTCAGATACTGTCCTAAGGATGACCTTTCTATAGATGACTTTTTTATGAAGTTGTCAATGACTCTATAATCTTGCAGACTCCCCGCTGGGGCTCTGACAGCTAACCAGAACCAGAAAGTCAACCTCTTCTCAGATACAGAGCATCACAGTTATGGCAATCCAGCTTTTTGGGGTGCTGTTTGTCTATGGCCTAGGTCTGCTATTGACTGGCACGTGTAGTATCACAGACTTAATATGCCACTCGGATGCCTTCATTATCCTCCAGGGTTTTCTGAGACTCCTCAAAGGAAGGACAGCTTCCTTTCACACTGAAAATCCAATGGATATTGCCAGTGCCCAAGGCTGTAAATCCCTGGGGAGAAATATGGAAGAAAAAGAGCAAGAAAGGGCAACCAAATTGTTTTTAGAATATATAATGTCTTCAGGCTTTTTCTCTTCTCAAGCGCTGACAGTCAACATATAAATAGTTCACTATTCCCTTTTTCCATACAGAGGAACCATGTTGATTCTGGGCAATATGAAGCGGATAGAAACAATAAGTGAACTAAGCTGAGTGGGCAGACAGGCCTAGGCCCTTATGCAGAAAGTGGATCTGGGGTACATGACTTCAGGACTCCTCTCGAGATTGCAAAAGAAACAGGAAAGTATGGTCAGGTCTGCAGATTGTAGTCATGCTGGCTTGTACACAGATGCTCTCATATTAAAACAATGGCTACTTGTGAACGGCCGATCATGCAAGGAGGGTGAAGTGTTGTTCCCATATGAAACTGACCTTTCGCCTCCTTGAGTGGACTAGCTAGGGGTCACTAACAGGAAGTAGAGAAGTGAAAGCCGCCTTTCTAATTCGGTACCTGGTCTCTAACAAAGAAAAGGGTTCTTAAGAGCCTGATGACCTTGGAACTTGAGTTTTGAGTTGGGGCTGGCAACATAGCAATCTCCACCCTGGTTCTACCAGCTACGTCACGGGCTATACTAACCACTCTAAGGGATTCATAGATTCACCACCTCTGGGTATCAGGTTCAAAGGAGGTACAAATTTTGGAATTACTACTTTTTAAGATTTTATTTTATTAATTTATCTGTGCTGGGTCACAGTTGTGGCGTGTGGGATCTTCGATCTTCCCTGTGGCATGTGGGATCTTTAGCTGGGCATGCAAACTCTTAGTTGCAGCATCTGGGATCTAACTCCCTGACCAGGGATCGAATCTGAGCCCCCTGCTTTGGGAGCAAGGAGCCTTAGCCACTGGATCACCAGGGAAGTCCCCAGATTTTGGAATGATTGAAAACACATTTTGGGACACTTGTTCTATACTGCTAAAGATCATTTAATCAAGTGTATCATCCCTATGTTATTTAACAAAGCCTGATGGAAACTTTGCAAAGCATAATAGTTTTAGGGAGAAGCTTCATATTTTTTAAACTTCTCTGTAAATCAACTTATGTCCATGTCACAGTCACAGAGTAAACCATACAAAATCTAGAAATCACCCCCAGGTCTAAAAATGTATAAAACCATCACCAATAGCTTAATTTTGTTCCTAGTATTCACAAAGATTCAGAGAGGCTGTATATCTTTAGTTAGGGCTTCCTTGGAGAAGGGAATGGCTACCCACTCCAGTATTCTTGCCTGGAGAATTCCATGGACAGAGGAGCCTGGTGGGCTACAGTCCATGGAGTCACAACAGTCAGACAAAACTGAGTGACCACACACACACACACACACACACACACACACACACATCTTTAGTTGTATGGCACTTTCCCCAGTTCTGGACGGGTAGTGATCCATTTCTAGAACTTTACCTTTCTCAAAGTGCATGAGAAGCATTCTGGATCACTGTCTCTGCCTTTCTTATAGACTCAGCATCCAGTCCCATCACTTCATAGCAAATAGATGGGGAAACAATACAAACAGTGAGAGACTTTATCTTTTTGGGCTCCAAAATCACTGCAGATGGTGATTGCAGTTATGAAATTAAAAGACACTTGCTCCTTGGAAGAAAAGCTATGACCAACCTAGACAGCACATTAAAAAGCAGAGACATTATTTTGCCAACAAATGTCCATCTAGTCAAAGCTATGGTTTTTCCAGTAGTCGTGTATGGATGTGAGAGTTGGACCATAAATAAAGCTGAGGACTGAAGAATTGATGCTTTTGAACTGTGATGTTGGAGAGGACTCTTGAGAGTCCCTTGGACTACAAGGAGATCCAACCAGTCTATCCTAAAGGAGATCAGTCCTGAATATTGGAAGGACTGGAAGGACCGATGCTGAAGCTGAAAGTCCAATACTTTGGCCACCTGATGCAAAGAATGGACTCATTGGAAAAGACCCTGATGCTGGGAAAGATTGAAGGCAGGAGAAGAAGAGGACAACAGAGGATGAGATGGTTGGATGACATCACCGACTTGATGGACATGAGTTTGAGCAAACTCCGGGAGTTGGTGATGGACAGGGAAGCCTGGCATGCTGCAGTCCATGGGGTCACAAAGAGTCAGACATGACTGAGCAATTGAACTGAACTTACTGACTGTGAAATAGAAAGAGCAAAGAGCAATACAGTTTGCCTCCTGGCTCTGCCCTCTATGAGTTGATATTCTTGGCCAAGTCTTGAACACTCTACAGGCCTCAGTTTCCTTACTTGTGAAATACTTGCCCTTGCAGGTAAGGAGTAAGAGACAAAACATATGAACATTTTACAGGTAAAAATAACCTATAAAGGGGAATGCACAGTACACAAGCTATCACTGTCCTCTTGTGTTACAGATGAAGAGCTGATGACACCAAAAGACCAGGACAATGAACTGAGCAGAAGCATATGGTGAGTCCATTACGAGCCCTGCACTCAGCCAGCACTCACACACCCAGGACACTGTGCACCCTCTCATTTCTGCTCCCATCCATGCACACAGACGAAGGACGGGCTGATAATCCACTGAAGTGAAGTGCAAGTCGCTCAGTCATGTCCAACTCTTTGTGACCTCTAGGCCAGAATACTAGAGTGGGTAGCCTTTCCCTTCTCAGGGGATCTCCCCAACCCAAGGATCGAACCCAGGTCTCCCGCATTATAGGCAGATTCTTTACCAGCTGAGCCACAAGGGAAGCCCAAGAGTACTGGAGTGGGTAGCCTATCCCTTCTCCAGCAGATCTTCCCAAGCCAGGAATCGAACCGGAGTCTCCTGCATCGCAGGTGGATTCCTTACCAACTGGCTATCGGGGAAGCCCACTAATCCACTAATCAGTTTCAAATGATACCATCGACATAGTTGCTTCCTTCTTTATAATAACAGTGCGTTCCCTAACTTTGAAAATGATAGAGAACAAGCCCACTAACCTTGCTGAGGGTGCGCATATATTCTAGATCCAGAATATACAGTCTTTGTATTATCAAATACACAGAGTGAAAGAGACGCAAGCTGGGGGCCCGCAGGTGTGTTCGTTGAGTGTGATGAGGGAGTGAGGCTGGAAGGATGCTTTGAGGATTATGGATATGGCCTGGGGGTCTCCAGAGGGCTGAGTTTTAAAAGCTGGGTGACAGGAGCACAGAAGGCTCTTCAGGAGGTAAATGATGTCTGATCACTTCTGTGCCGAGGAGAGCAGCAGCGAAGCTGGTAACAACCCCTCCCTGTTTTATTCCTTCACCAATAAAGTCTTCAGACACCCCAGTCAGAAAATCAGAGGATGTTAAAGGCGGAAGAGCCCTCAGTATCCCCAAGCTGAAGGGAGCAGGATGCAGTTCAGATACCATCTCTGCCTGTTAGCAGCTGAGACTTTGGGTAAGTTTCTTATCCCTTCTGTGTCCTCACCTGAAAACAGAGAAAAATAACCTCATAGGTTGTTTGAGAATAAAATCTGATGTCTATGAAGCATTCACCTCAGTACCTGGTATGTAGTAAGTTCTAGAAATGTCAGCTGTTTTTGCTATGAATTTAGCTTCTTAAGTTCCTTGTGAGAAAACTGAGGGCCAGAGGGTATTGGTGGCTTGCCCAGATCCAAAAGGTTCAGATTCATGGCAAAATATGGACTGCACACCAAATCCTTTTGCCAACGTTCCAGTACATTCTCCTCCACATTCCACGGTGATGCCCACTGTGCCCCAGGAATGGTCATCTGCTGATGGGCTCTGAGGTCCCTTCTAGGTCTACAGAATCAGTGATGTTAAATGACGGGGTAGCGCACACAGCCACTTCTCAACGTTCTGTGTGAATGGTAAGGAATATGTTCATGAAGGACCCCAGGCTGCAGATGATCCACTCCGGGCTGATGTGGGTTTGGTGGCGACAGCAGAGAGCAAAGCCACGTCTCCAGTGCAGGGCGTCTGTGTCCTGAGGGCGACTAGCTCTCAGAGCTGAGTGCAGTTTAAGGACTAAGCCCGGCCCTCTCCTGCAGGGCATGGCGTCAGGCACTCAGTCATCTAGAGCCGTCTTCAGCAGCATGACAGCCGTCAGGCCACTTCCGCTGGAGCTGATGACCTCCTCTGTGATGGCCCCAGCCTGGTTGTAGAATCTGAGCCTTAGATTCCCCTCTTAAGGCTCACTCTGATCCTTCTTAATCCCCCATTCAGCTTCCCTTGACTTTCTTTTTTAAATTTAATTTTATCATTGGAGTCTAATTGCTTTACAATGTTGCATCAGTTTCTGCTGTATAATGAAGCGAATCAGCCGTATGGATGCCTACATCCTCTCCCTCTGAGCCTCCCCGCAGTCCTTCTCTAGGTCATCACACAGCACCGAGCTGAGTTCTCCGTGCTACACGGAGCTCCCCACTAGCTACCTGTTTTACACATGGGAGCGTACATCCGTCGGTGTTACTTTCCCAGTTCATCCCCCCCTCCCCTTTTCTCTCTGCGTCCACACATCTGTTGTCTATGTCTGTGTCTCTATTCCTGTCCTGCAAATTGGCCCATCAATACCATTTTTCTAGGTTTCCATATTTATTATGTAATTATACAATAGGTGTTTTTCTCTTTCTGACTTACTTCACTCTGTATGACAGACTCTGGGTCCATCCACATCTCTACAAATGACTCAATTCCATCCCTCTGTTTTCTAAATCATCTATGTGCTCTCATCCTGGAGAAAGGGAAATCGAGCTTGTTTAATCATCAACCTCTGTCTACTTTCAACTCCTAGTCAACAGACTTGGTCCTGGGGTTGCTCTCTGTGTTAAAATCTGTCTCTTATCCCTAGAGCTGGATCTGTGTGGATGTCTGAGGTTTCTAGAAGACTCGCCAGAGGATGAATGGGGTGTCGTAGGAGCAGGTGTCAGATGGTAAGCAATCCTGTTCTCGCCTTATTTGAATGTGAACTTCATCCTCTGCTACATGCTGGTGAATCATAAATCTCGGGGTCTGACACCTTTGGAGGTCTGAGGGAATGAAGCTGCTGCCAGATAAAAAGTGTTTCATGCAAAGAGATGAACCAATGTCAGAATAAAAAGTTTATCAAGGTATATGTTAGAGAAAAAAAACTGTCCAAATAAAACGGCTTTGGGGATGTGTACAGTTAAAGCAATTTTAAAAAGCACCAAGCCTTCTCTCTTGCTCCCTGGTTTTCAACACCTGTACTAGATTTATCACCCTAGCGGCATATCTATATGCACTGCGTAGTGTTCTTTGCTTCCTACTTCCAAAGGGTTTCAGTTCTTCAGATTTAAAATCACCGGGGAATTTAGAAGGAGTGAAAAATATTCCCAAAAGGTGATTTGATAAACCTAAACAGAAACCCTTACATTGTTAACCTTACTTCATGAAATGCTTTTCTGTACATCATCTCATCTTTCTCATGGGCATTGAAGGTTTGACACCATGCAGAGAGCAGGAGACTAGTTCAGGTCTGTATGGGGCTATTTTACAAACCCCTTCTTTCTAAGTTTTAATTTTCACATGACAACCAAGCATTGCATGAGTCTACAAAGAGAACAAAATAAACGCATTATGAAGAAACCACTATGTTTCCTCATCAAAATTCTTCAGGAAAACTGTTGTGTTTCAAATGTTGGCTCTGGAAAACACCCACTCACCTTGGGAACCACGAAGGTCTCACTTCTTTCAGGGCGCCCACTGACCCCTTGTTCTTTGCATGGATGTGCACTCTTCCTTCAGCTCCACATGCACCCGCCTTTGCTTATCCTGGCTCATTCACGCTACAGTCCCCTTCTATGGACAACAGGCTCCTTGACAGCAATGCCAATGTCTTGGTTTTTTTAGTTTTTTTTGGACATGGATCATTTTTAAAGCCTTTATTGAGTTTGCTACAAAATTATTTTGGTTTTATGTTTTGGCTTTTTGACCACGAGGCAAGTGGGATCTTAGCTCCCTGACCAGGGATTGAACCCTCACCCCCTGCATTGGAAGCTGAAGTCTTAACCACTGGATCACCAGTCCCCAATGTCTTGTTTTTTATCTTTCCTGTTCTTACAGGGCGAGGCACTGGGAGGGATTCAGTATATATGGAATGAACGGTCAGAAAAGTCCATGGCCAACAGGCACCTTACAGAAAGTGTGAGTATGAACTGGGAACATGCTGGTGGAGTCAAAGAATCTTCTGAAGCAGTAAGCTATGCATAAGCTATCACTTATGAAGTCAAATTCAAATACAGCATAGGAGAAGGCTCACGAAAAAGATTCCCCTGTTAGAGAAAGGACAATTACAAGGGCTTACAGCGTAGGGAACCTGGAAGGACACAGCAGTGACTGACATTAACGGGCCTCTTCTAGCTTCCAGAAGTTCTCAGGATAGAAAGACATGGGGGAAAGAGAATGAGCCAGCAGTGCTCAGAGTCAAATGCTAAGTCAGTCGGTGTCAGTCGCTCAGTTGTGTCTGACTCTTTGCGATCCCATGGACTGTAGCCCTGCCACACTCCTCTGTCCATGGGATTCTCCAGGCAGGAATACTGGAGTGGGTTGCCATGCCCTCCTCCAGAGGATCTTCCCGACCCCAGGGACAGAGCCCAGGTCTCCTGCATTGCAGGTGGATTCTTTACCACCTAAGCCACCAGGGAAATGATTTAACTGTTCCCAGTATAGAAAGAAAGAAGTGAAAGTGTTAGTTGCATAGTTGTGTCCAACTCTGCCACCCATGGACAGTATCTGTTCGTGGAATTTTCCAGGCAAGAAGACTGGAGTGGATTGCCATTCCCTTCTCCCAGTATAGAGGAGCCTTTAAATTTAAATTACCATAGCCTGAGGTTCACTACATAATTCCATTCCATAGTGCCAGGTATCAGAAAGGAAATGAATGGCTTCTTCCTGATGCCTCACACCCAGGCAGTTAAGGCTGGAGTAAAGCCTCTTGTCTAAGGTCCATGAAGTGGCGGAGTCTGAACTAAGGTTACGCAGAAGCTGGGAGGAGTTTGTGCTTTTAAGAAAGACAGCCACTTCTAACCTCTCAACTTTGTGATTCCCAGAAGAGTACAGGGGAGCTCGGCTGGCCCAACCCTCTCACCAAAAGAAAGCAAATAAACTACTATAGTCTTTGCTATCATTGAAGAGCACTACTTGTAACTCTCAGGAGACAGCAACAAATAAATTGTACTTACATGCTATTTTGTAACATTAACAGATTTTCAAGACAATAATATATATACACCAAGGTGAGGCAAAACTGTGTATGAATATCCTTATGTGTCTGCTAAGTTGCCTCAGTTGTATATGACTCTGTGCAACCCTATGAACTATATAGCCCACCAGGCGCCTCTGTCCATGGAATCCTCCAGGCAAGAATACTGGAGTGGGTTGCCATTCCCTCCTCCTGATAATTTTCTCTACCCAGAGATTGAACCCAGGCCTCCTGCAGTGCAGGCATATTCTTTAACCCTGAGCCACTGGGGAAGTCCATATGAGTATCTATGAGGTTTCAAGTTTTACATTTTAGTAGTGGAAAAATGAAGGAATATCCAAATAAGAAAAAGTCATGAAAACACAACATAAAAGAAGATAATTAATTAGCATAGGCGTAAGGAAGTTTTGTAATTTTAAACAACAAAGAGAACCCAAAGCAAACAGGAAACACAAATATCAGTGACATTAAACACCAAAAAGCAAGAGGAGTGGGAGTTAGCTTAACCTCTGCAAGGAAGGTGGAGCTAAAATTTGTCTTTCTGAAATAGCCACCTTTGGTCCCTGGGGAGAGAATAAATCTAAGCCATCTACCATATGAGAACCTTTCAAATATTAGAAAATGCTATTATGTACTAGTCCAGTCTTTTGTACTATAGGTTAAATATACTTTGTTCTTTTAACCTTTCATCAGACGATTTTAATCTTTCTCACTATTGTGGCTACTTTCCTCTGAACTCAGTCCAGTTTTTTTTCTATCTCTCAACATACTCACTGGACACATGTCATATACTGTGGTTTGGCAAGCATCAATCCCAGTGAACCATCCCCATGTTTTTTGCGATTGTTGCTGTTCATTGTTCAGTGGCTTAGTCATGTCTGACTCTCTGTGACCCCACGAACTGCAGCACCCCAGGCTTCCCTGTCCTTCACTGTCTCCCAAAGTTTGCTCAGACTCATGTCCACTGAGTCGATGATACCATCCAAACATCTCATCCTCTGTCGCCCCTTTCTCCTTCTGCCCTCAATCTTTCCCAGCCCCAGGGTCTTTTCCAAAGAGTCGGCTCTTCGCATCAGGTGGCCAAAGGATCGAAGTATTTTGGGATTACCATACGGTTTGATCAGGCAGCTGCAGACCGAAAGCAGTGCTGGTCACATGTACTGAGCGAACATCTATGATGGGATGGGCGTAGGAGCACTTTACATACATTGAGTTAAGTCCTGAGAACTAGCCTATGTCAGGGCTGCCATACTTCCTGCTTCACACCTAAGGGCCCAAAGACACAGAGAGGTTAATTAACTTGTTTAAAGTCACAGAGTCACTAGCAAGCCGTCCGCTGAGTCCTGATACACTATATTTTGATTGACGCTGTCCAGCATTCCAAATTGTGACGCTCTTTTCAGACCTCCATTCCTTCCTTCAATGTACCGTATTCATCGTTCCTCCCAGCCCCATGCTATGTCCAACTCAACAAACGTGCCCTTTATAACTTTATCCAAGTCATTCATAAAATTTTGACCGGGACAGAACAATGACTTGGTTACCTAATGACTCTGGGCCCCCCCCCCCTTTTTTTTTTGCAATGACAGTGGAAATTATTCCATTCGACCAAATTATGGGACTTTATTTTAAAAATGAATCCATTGTAAGTTCCTTGAATGCTTGTCACATATTTCTTTGCATCCCACACAGCTAGTTAAAACTCGGTAAAAATCGCTGAAAGAAGTACAGTGTTCTGAAATGTGAAGCCGGAGGGAGGGCTCGGGGGGTGGCTCACACATTGCCTGCAGTCCCAGAGTTGACAGGCCAACAGTTTCTCCACTACTGACTGTTCTGTCCTCCTCCCAGCCTTACCCTCTGGGTTCTTCTGTGCTTTCCACAAGCCATCAGACCAGGGAAGAGATCTGGGATGTAATGCCTTCCAGACAGGAGATCCAACAGGACAGTGAGAATTTCAGAAGATGAACCATGTTTACGGCTGGATTTATTAAAACTGGCTCAGAAGTCAGGTCATCTGTAATAAAGTCCTAATGAGAAGTTATCTGTCCACTAGGACACGACAGGAATCTAGAAGCTAGAGTAGAAATAAACAGAAGTTGGAGGCATACCCCTCACCTCTGAGGATGTCATCATGCATTATTCCTACTCCTGTTCTCAGAACATAATAATACCACAATACCAGAGGGCAGCCCTGGTCTGAGAACCACCATCCATCTCAGCATGCTAATGCGGAAGGTCAAAGCCTGTCCCCAGATCTGCACTCACAGGAGGAACAGTGCTGATTTTATCTTGAAAAGTCTTGTCTTTTGACACCAACATTATCAAAATCTCTCTTCTAGTTTACATAAAATACCTTGAAGTACACTGGATTAAAGAGATCTGAATATAATGTTAACTTCAAAAATGATAACAAGCAATGGGTACTTAATAAGGGTCAGGAACAATGTTAATTGATTAACACACTTTGTCTCCTTTAATGGTCACAACAACTTCATGAAAAATTATGCTAAAATTATTCCCAATTTACAGATAAGTAAACTGAGGCAGGGAGAGGTTAATTACCTTGTTTGTAATTAGCAGAACGCAGAAGCTTGACTCCAGCACTGTTGAACACTTACCCTCTTAAATATAATATGTGTTATTATTTAGTCCAGGTCTTCCAAGAAGTAGACACCAAGATAGTACTAAAGGTGTCAAGAATTTTTTTTAAGGGAAAACACTTGCATGAGAGAGAATGGGGAGAGAGGGGTCAGATGGCAATGCCAGGTGCCCCCCGGTGAAGATTAGAGGGGGACAGTCCGTGGGAGGGTCTTAACCTCACCATCTGGGGAGCCCCCGAGTCCTGTCAGCCGTCAGAGGAGCCCTGTGATGCGGGGGGTTGGGCGGCCGGAGAAGGTCAGCCCATGTTTGGGTGGAAGCAGCCTCTGCAGTAAAGCAATGGTGGAACCCGTAGAGCTGGGCCTTGAACTCCCGGTCAAGGTCGGCCAGACACAGGCCTTCATGCTGTCTCCAGGCTGCCTCCGGAGAGGGCCTCAGTCTGCTCTTAAGTGTAAAATGGAAGTCGCATCAGAAGGGTTGTTGTTTGTCAGTGGAGACGTCTCAGTACCCACAGCTTGAGTGGCTGGAATCAGTAACTCTCAGGCTGCGGAAGCAGAGGGACGTGACCCCTGGGTCCTGGGAAAGGAGGCTGGACTTGTTTCCTCCCAGCATCTGGAACAGACTCCCTTCAGGCTAGTCTCTCTGCTTACAAAGTATATTCTTCTGCAGATGATTTCCTGGATTCTCTGTAAAGCATTTGGCCATTTCTCATGGCCATATTCTAGAAAGTTCCCAGAGAGGATTTGCCACGCGTGGATCTCATGGAAATAAGTGGGAGAGTTCCAGGGATGGCTTCTGGCTGAGCAGACGCTCCTAACATGCAGCCCTTTAATCTCTTTCTCATATTTTTTCTCTCGTTCCATCAAGCCAACCATTGCTCTCCCACAAAATAAAGTGTGAATATCCACTGTCTTTATTTTCTTGGAACCCGAGGAGAGTCGGGCTCACCTGCTCACTCTGGCCGCTGTCCTGCACCCATCCTGTCAGGACTGGGCCAGGTACCACTTCCTCCTGCATCGCCTGAGCTCTGGCTCCAGCCCAGGCCGTGTGCATGGGTCACACCCACCCAATGATGCTTTGTTGTCTACCTGCATGTATATATCTACCTGTACATACAGAAATGTACATAATACACACAAATGCATATAAAATTGCGGGAACTAAAGCTGAAGCCCTCCCTTTTCCCTGGCAGACCCGAGACCATTATGCAAGTCGTGTGTCATTTTCCAGCCCTTGATCTCCAGACCTCTCCGTGGTATTGCCTGCTGGCCACCCTCGGACCTCAGGATGTCACTCCTAGCTGTCTTCAAACCCCCTGGAATCCCAGCTTCTTCATTCTCTTTTCCTCTTTACTTGCCCAATCCTTAAAGATTGGTGCTCCCAAAGGCCTAACCTTGGCTGGTTCTGCTCTCCGCATGTACTTTCTCACCATAGGATTTTATCCACTCTCCCTACTTTAGGGAGCCCTGGCTCCTCCTTATAGTTTTTCCTCTTGTCCCCTGCGACATTGTCCTACCATCAAAACTCCAACCAAGCTATCATACAATCACCTCCCCATCACTATTTCACTGGGTTAAGCTTACTAATACGTATGAATGTCTGTCCAATGCCACACAATCTGTCAGGTGTTTTATGTACATTATTTCACAAGCCTTACAACAATCAAGTAAAAAAGATCCTATAAATTCCCATTCAGATAGGCAAACTGAACTCACAGCGATTTAGCTCATAGCCTAGAATTTAAATTTGGTCAAGAAGGGTCTTTACCTGGCATCGAGGTCTCAAGCTCCAAAGAGCAGGCTCCCCTGTAGCTCACCATTAGCCTCCCACCCCCCAGTCCCGACACATTTGCTTCTTCTGCCCAGTGAGGGCCTCCAGACACTCCCTGCTTAGGGCACCATGGGCCCTAAGATAGATAGAATTACTTTTTCCAGAAATGAGTATGACCATGTCTCTTCTTTTCTAGAAGCCTCTGTTGACTATACTCCATAATTAAGTCCTTACTAGCTGGTTTGGCCAGTGGTTACAAGGCTTGTCCAAACATTGGAATCACCTGGGGAGTTTTGAAAACCACTGATGCCTGCTTCCCACCCCCAGAGGATGTGAATTCATTGGTCCGCAAAGTAGCCGGGTTTTGATGTTTGTTTCATAAAATCCCAGGTCATTCTAATGGACAAGTAAGTTTGGAAACCGCTGAGTTAGGAACCAATGGCCCTTCCGTTTTGACTCCTTCCTAACTCTTCAGCAACCATGGATCTCCCCAGCTTCAAACCCTGCTGTGGATTTAACCATCCAGCTCTCTGTCCTGGGGTCTTTTTTCTCTTTGACCAACTTCTACATCCTTCGATATTCAGCTCAAATGTGCCTCTGAGCTTCTCTGCCCTGACCACCATTCTGCCCTTTGCTCTCGCCACCAGCCACTCACACTCCCCTGTAATCTAGCTGTTTACCCAGCAGTTTCCCCAGACGTGTGCAGGTAAGGGTGGATACTCCTGCTCACCTCTTTGTATCTCCTTCCAGAACACAGTGCTCCGGAGATACTCTGTGCATGAATGGATGGATGAGCGAGTCAGTAAATACCTAGATAGGAAGTGGAAGGGTCATTTGTAAAGATGTGGACAGACCTAGAGGCTGTCATACAGAGTAAGTTAGAAAGAGAAAAACAAACGTCGTATATTAATGCATATCTGTGGAATCTAGAAAAATGGTACAGATGATCCTATTTGCAAAGTACAGACAGAGACACAGTCATAGAGAACAAACGTAAGAACACCAAGGGGGGTGGGGGTGGGATGAACTGGGAGATTGGGACTGACATATATGCACTACTGATCCCATATATAAAATAAATAAGGAGAGCCTACTGTAGCACTCAGGGAACCCTACGCAGGAGTCTGTGCTCACTAAGTGGGAAGAAAACCCAAGGAGGAGGGGATGTATGTAAATGTACCCAGGCCGCACTAGCGGTGAAGAACTCACCTGCCAATGCAGGAGACATAAGAGATGCAGGTTCAGTCCCGGGGTCAGGAAGATCCCCTGAAGAACAATGTGGCCAACCCACTCCAGTACTCTCATCTGGAGAATCCCACGGACAGAGGAGTCTGACGGGCTACAGTCCATAGGATCACAAAGAGTTGGACACGACTGAGGCGACCTAGCATGCATACACACAGCTGATTCACTTTGCTGTACAGTGGAAGCTAATACAACACTGTAAGGCAACTATACTCCAATAAAATTATAAAAAAAAAAGAAATTATACTTCTGGACTGTCATACTCTGAAGACCAAAATCCAGGCTGCAACGTGGAATGAAAAAGCTTGGGGTTTGGAGCAGTATAGACATGAATTTGAACACTGGCTCTAGATATGAGCTATGTGATTCTTCTTAGGCTGTTGAAATACATGGAATTTCAGTTTCCTCTATAGAAAAATGAAAATAATAATAGTAATACCTTCATTATTGGGAAGGGGAAGGTAGAAACTGGTATTTGTGAAATGCTCAGCATAATGTCTCACCCGCAAGTATTAAAAAATGTTAGCTTTATTATTACCTCACTAACCTTGGTTTGCTCATTTGTGTGCTGTGAGATTTTTGGAATATTACATACTTTTTCTGTGTCTTTTTCTCACCTATGAAATGTGCACAGCAATATTTCTCTCTCAAAAGGAAGTTGAAAGGCTTCACTGAAAGAGTTTCAATTGTTCCACAAGTGCACCATGTTTGTATTTACTTCCTAATTTCTGTGCTTTCTTATACCTTCTGTGATAATACCAGAGAAAGCATTTTTCTTGTACCACAAACTCTGGACATGCAAGGGGACTATATTCAGAAACATCCCTACACCCAAATTTGCAAATACTACCAGAACAGATACGTTCCCCCCATAAAATACAATCAACTAGGACTGAATATTTCAATAAGGGTCACCCCTTCAAATCCATAATGATTTGACCAAAACAGGACCAAAGGACTTTTTACAGCTTTAAAAATAATATCTGTCACAAAAATAATTTCCTAACACAGGTGTCTGTGACATTACTATTACAGTAACATCAGATATGAACTCAACCAGATTTGTAAATGCTAAACAGTAGTGATGGATCATAACATTCTCATCTCATGAGCACTACTTTGAGGTAGATTACAAACAGGAACACAGAGGTGGAAAGAAGATTCAGACCTGGGCCATTCTGGGCTCATTCACTTGTTCCTTTTGCTTGTTCCTCATAGAGGCTTCAAATTCATACTCCAGGGACTTCCCTGGTGGTCCAGAATGAAGATGGGTCCTTCATTCTGCACGCCCAATAAAGGGGCCTGGGTTCGATCCTTGGTCAGGGAACTAGATCCTGTATGCTGCAAAAAGAGCTGGCACAGCCAAATAAATTTTTAAAAGAAAAATTTTCAAAAGTCTAAAAAAATTCATATACCAGTATAATTATTATTTATTAATACTGATACTATAGTTCTTTGGCTTTATTGTGATGAGTAAAAATCCTGAATAATATTCCTAATACTGAAAGTCAACTACGTTCATTCACTTTTGCCCTACAGTTGTCATCAACATGTTTCCAGGCCAAGGGACAATGCTAGGTGGGGTTAAAGGACTCAAGGTCCCTCCAATTCCCTGCTTACTAACTTGATCAGGAATAGAACTGAGTATGGATAAAAAATACTTTAGTATTTTGGACAATAGTAATACAAAGTTGCATCTTAATTTTTTTTTTTTTTTGCTGTAACGATAACTTATTATTCATTTTCTTCCCTCTTAAATCACTCAAATATTTTATTCAGAAACAGAAAAAAGATTTGTGAAATGGAGACAAATGATAAATATCATTAGCATTTTCTTCAATTCTACAAACTATATTTCTGTGAAATTCAAAATATCTTTCATCTTTAATTCTGCAAATAGTGTGATTTCAAATACAGCAACTGTCCTCTCTTGGTCTAGCTAAATCTTCAATATTTATACTGAATCATCTACATAAGTTATTTCTCAATATTCAATATTCTAAAAAGTAATTTTTTTTCTTCTTGAGGAATCAGAATTAACCTTTAATTTTGTTCTCTTCTGAGGAGCACAGTGGAATGCTTCATTCTGCAAGGGTTCAGAAGCCAGTATACAGCAGGCAGTTGCCACAAGGTACAGAATTGAGATGCGGCCAGGTGACCTTGAGGAGAAATCATTTCCAGTCCTTGCTTTTAGCTCCAAAACCATCATTCTTTTGCCTTTCATATCTCTTGTCACTGAATTATAGAGCCCTTTGGCTTCTGAAAAAGCAGTTTTTTTTCTCAATTCTCTAACTAAACACAATAATAAATTGAGTCCCTATCTTTGTTAGAGGTCTGGCCTTTTCCCATCTTTTCATCAACCCATCTTGCATCTGTTTGGCTCCTCCCAACACCCCCTTCGGCCAAGAGCAACCTTAACGACAGTGACTTAAACTCACTCCTCCCGGAGTCGTCCTCCTCTTCACTTATGCCCTTAGACACAGGCGTCGAGGGGCTCCTGCCATGAGTCCCAGCTTTGGAAGGCCCACTGGGGTCTTCCTTTGGCCACCCCTCCCTACCAGGGCAGGTATTTGGCAGGCCCAAGGTGAGAAGAGCCCATGTCTCCCCTTCCAGACTGTGTTCTGGATACCTGGAACCCGCACATTCCCTCCCCGGAGAGACTCAGTCTGCTTTCCCAGGTCTTTGCTCTGGAAGGTGGACACACACCTGTCTGCACCTTCCGGCCCAAAGAGTGGACAAGTGGTGTGTGCATGGAGGTGTGGGCCGGAAAGTCCCCTAAGTGTGGGAGGCCCCTCTGATTCAGCACAGAGCCAAGGATGGGGAGAGAAGAGGGTAGTCCAGGGAACCCACGCTGCAGAACCAACTGTGTTTAAACCTGGCCATGCCAGTTGCTAGGAAGTTACAGTTGTCAAAGCCAGAGGATGGAACATATTTTACATAACAGCTAGCTAGAACAAATAAATATGAAGCATACGTTGGAAAATACCCCAATGCTGGGAAAGATTGAGGGCAGAAGGAGAAGGGGGTGACAGAGAATGAGATGGTTGGATGGCATCACCAACTCAATCAATGGACATGAGTTTGAGCAAACTCTGGGTGATAGTGATGGACAGGGAGCCTGGCATGCTACAGTCCATGGGGTCGCAAAGAGTCTGATACAACTGAGCAACTGAACAACAGCAACAATATGGTATGTAGGTCCACCTCTGTACTCTTGTCCTGGGCCCATAAATGTCAGGGGCAGGCCTCTTTCTCTTCACCCAACAGTCCTCCTGCAGATCTCCTGCCAACGCCCCTGCCATCTCTGCTATGATGACTACACATGGTCTGGAACTTTCACGTTTTTATTTCCCAACCTGCCAACCAGGCCTCCTCCTTCACACTACGGAAGTGAAAGTGAAGTCTCTCAGTCGTGTCCAACTCTTTGCGACCCCACGGACTATAGCCTACCAGGTTCCTCTGTCCGTGGAATTTTCCAGGCAAGAGCACTGGAATGGGCTGCCATTTCCTTCTCCAGGGGATCTTCCCCACCCAGGGATCGAACCTGGGTCTCCCACATTGCAGGCAGACACTTTAGCATCTGACACGTGGGGAGCCCCTTCCCATTACTCTTCCCCCTATTCAGATTCAGGTCTTGACAGAAGGCCCTGGAGTTAATCTGTAAACAGGGAAGATGCTGCGGTACGTCCCACTGGGAGGTTTCTGTGAAGCCTGGGTCCTCCTGGGTCAGCCCCTTTCCAACACGGGACCTGTGTGCTGTGATAATCACAGATAAGACAGGTGACCCCTTTTTTCTCTATGGATTTTTCCTCCCTCCTGTGTTATTTCATTCCCTTCATTTCTAAAACGTGTTTCAGACACAGAGGGAGCGGCTGTGATGGAAGTCGGCCAAGCAAGGATAGAGGGTGGGGGAGCAGTGGGCAACTCCAGTCTGACGCTAATGATTTGTGTACAATTCAAGGTCAGAGAATGATATGTGAGGCTTGCGTGCCCACCCACACGAGCACACACAATTTAGTGCTTGATTATATCAGCATACAACACTAACACATCTCACGCTGCCTTGCTCAGTTGCCTCTCCAATTAGGAGAGGACTCGGAGGGCAGGGACCACATGTTAAGCTGCCTTTGTTCCCCAGAACACCCACCACCTTATTAGGCACATAATAGGCATTTGATAAATATGTTTTGTTAAAAGAGGCTTGTCTCCATTAATGAAATAAATGTGTTCTTCAAGTGTTCTGAATCGAGTGAGTTTTTGGTAAAGAGAATTCCATTTTAATGCTACTACATTTGCAATGGGAAAACTATGATAAGTTCTTTTACAAAGCGGATCATCATTCCATTTGGCTTGTCATATATTTGTAGATTCTTGGGCCTAAACCAGGGAATCTTATACTGGGGGTGGGGGAGATGAGTGCCTATGAATTCCCTGTAATTGTATCCACATTTTTTGGGGAATGTGTATTTTTCTGGTGATATTGCTGGAGTTTTCATTCTATTCTCAGAGGGATGTGCTACTTAAGAAAAAAAAATGTTAAAATCTATGAGCTTGGAAGGTATTAAGGAAGTTGGTCTAAGCTTCTGGGAAAATAATTCAGCTGCTTTGGTATGCAGAAAATACTAACTAGAGCTAACATCTGTTGAGCCTCTGTTCCACACCAAACATTTGATATTCACCATAGTTCATCTTCCTTGCAAGGTAGGCATTATCATCTCATTTTATAGATGAAGAAACCGAAGAGACCTGCCCAGGCACATAGTTATTAAACATCCAATGTGAGATTTGAAACAGGATCTGTTGGATTCCAAAACAGGAAAATTTTCATGAACTGTTTCTGTCTTGCTCTGATGCCCTACCTAAAATAGGAGTATGAATAATGATAATAATAAATACATTAACTTTGGGTAGATTACTATTGTCCCCACGTCACAGATGGGAAAGCTGAAGTTAAGAAACATATATGAGAACAGACATGTG